GGGGGGGGGGGGGGGCACACAAATGCTCGGTGAGCAGTAAAACACATGAGACAAATTTCAAAATACTTACTCGCTGGTATAGAACACCTGAAGTGTTGCACAAGATGGACTCCTCAATTCCGGCAGAATGTTGGCGTTGCAAATCGGGGAACGGAACCCTGATACATACCTTTTGGTGATGTGCTTCCCTCCAACCATTTTGGAGGGGGATACACGGACTGATGGGTAAGATTCTAGGAAGCGCAGTGGAGTACTCCCCAGGGGTTTTCTTGCTACACCTTGCGGGAGGGGGTAGGAGGAACCCAGCCAAATCCCTGGAGAAACATATGATCAATGCGGCCAGGACACTTATACCTAGGCTGTGGAAGGAGACTAGAGCGCCCACGGTGAGAGACTGGATTCAACAGGTGGGACACATTTGTGAGATGGAGGAACTCTTGGCGACTAAACAGGATCGTATAGACAAATATGCAAAATTGTGGGCACCATGGGTGGTGTTCAGCTGTAGCGTTGAGTGTACCAACATTAGGGAGGGAACAGGGTAAGAGGGGGGGGGGAAGATACCCTCCAGGGAAAGACGGTAGGGAGGTAGGAGGAACGACTAGAACAAAGATGTGAGACCCCCAATGGGACAGGAGAGTGGAGCTTTTTCTTTTTCTTTTCTTCCTTTCCTTTTTCACTTTATCTTTCTGTTATATTTCCCATTTAGTCCCCTGTGATCTCCAACAGGAGAAGGACAGGGCATGATTCAAGGAGGCAATCCGGTACCGGTTTAGAGTTCAACAAATATGGAGTGGGAAGGAGGAGCCACCCACGAGAGTGAAGTGGGGCTCCGACCGAGAAGAACTAATTTCTATAAATGAGACAGTTTATAAAGGAGAATGGATTTTACTGGAGATGTGATGCTATGTAAAACGCATATTATGTGAAGCCACCAATCTGGCCGGAATGTACCCCTGCTGTGAGATATTTCTTTCTGTTTATGTGTGTTTGTATTTTGTTTTACTATGTATAAAAAACAATAAAAATTTTGATTGGAAAAAAAAAATTTAAGGAAGTGAATGCCTATAATTAGGTGGGACAAGCTAAGCAATACCTTAGGGCTGCCACGATTTCTATGGTCTGATATCAAACAACAACAAGTAATTTAGTTTAACCACTTTGTATGTGCACTGCAGGGCTATAGATTGTATTGCAACCTTGGCATGCAATGTCAAGGTTGCAATAGAATGCCAAGAAGGTGGCATGTTGGAGTGCAATAAAAGAGCATAGGAGTGTTGAACTTGAATGAATATAGTCACCTAAAACTTGAATTAGGACTTTTTGTAGTGCAGCTCCACAATGGTCTATGTTTGGATCTCCTTGAGGAGTATAGATGTGCAAGAAACATCTTCATCCTCATCATCAAGAGACTTCTTTGATGTTAGTAGTTTGGGAACTGCCTGCCATAGTAAGAATTCTGCTCACAGGATCCAGATAGTATCACACACGAGTCGTAAGTTGGCTGCATGCAAATTAGCTTTGTATTACTTAAATTTATCAAATTGGACATTACGTAGAATCATTTCTGCATGATGTTGTTTAAAGCATCCTGCTGACTTTACATGGTGTCATACTTCTTATTCCTGATAAAAAATGTGTACATTAATTTTTATCTCATCTAAGATATAAGATCAGTCTCTTTATAAAACATTATCAGTCAATACGCCATTATGTTTTTTTTGTAAAACATACCTGTCTTCTAACGTGCACATTTCCTTCCACTGGCATGTTGTACGCACTTCGAATCAGATTCCGCGCAATAAAATAGTAATATACTGAGATAATGGACAGAGGCATGATATAGAAGATTAAAAATGAAGTCATCGAATGGATTCTTGGGTGCAGTCCATCAGAATGTGGGTAGGGGGCACAGCTGATAAATGTTTTGTTGGTTTCTTTGTCATAAAATGGGTGCAAATCCGAGAAAACAGCTTCTGGAATGGCCAGGGTCATGGACAATATCCAGATAAGTGCAGCTTTGATGCAGATCTTAGTCAAAGCATTATTGGCTTGAATATCCATGGGTTTTACAATTGCTGTGTACCTACAAAAGGAAAAAAAAACATATTGTCAGATTATTTCCAAACAATTAACAGTACACAAAGGATTTTTAGTATATGCATGCAGGATGGAGACAGAGAGAGAGAGAGAGAGAGAGAGAGAGAGAAAGAGTTAGTTAGTTAGTTAGTTGGCTACCCCTGATTCAGAGTATTCTAATGAACCGGTAAGGGGTCCAAAATGCCCAGCAAACTAGGAATGTCCTGTGAAATTTACGGAGTTGTTTAAAACAAAATCTTTGCTGCTTTGTATTTGGAGATATGGAGCCAATGTATTTATCAAGCAGAATTGTAACATTATTAGAAGGATTTACGTTGTGTCCAGAGAAGCTCTAGCATATGAACTTTTTGCCAAAAAAGTCAGGATAGTGTTGAAATTGTTCTCCCATTTTATATTGTTGACGAGTAAACAAAATACTTAATGCTTAACAAATACTGCAAAAAGTATGGTGAATGTTTGAAACAATGTTATGGCCAATTTATTTTTTACAGCACAAAAAGATTAATGTACTATAATTTAGTTTTTACCAGACTGTTGAAACCACAATCTTAAAATTATTTAGACATTGTTTTCCCTAATGCTAAAACTGATTTATTAGAACTTTTTAAAATCTGTTCTGATGCATTATCGTTGGATTGTCCCACCGCTATCCTGCTTATTATTATGATTTATTTTGTCATTAAGGAGGGAATTAGAAACCAATACAGTAGCATGTTTATTACAGTTATAGGAGATGTCATTAGGATACACATTTTGGCCATTTCATGAGCTCCATTATATCCGTTGTATTCACTCATAGATAAACAAATATAACAAAAGTAATAACTGAAATACAACTCATCCTGCTGGTGAACAAGGGAGGAAATTAGTTTAGAGAGATGGCAAACTATGAAATAATAGATATCCTCTTGTGTTAAAGAACATGCAAAAGGTACAGATTTTCACTCAGCCTCATAATCTAAGACCTGTGACAATGAAACTGTCACAGGTCGGCTCAGTAGATCGGGAAGTTAGTGAACACATACCGTCGCTCTCTTACTTCTCGATCCTGTCACTGCAGAAAGCCGTGACTCACGGCTCCCCACAAGGATTCCCCCCCTCCCCTGTCCGATCCTCCAGGGCTGACTGGCGGAACAGACGGGGGAGGGGGCGGGTACAGCTGTCTCTGCCTCTGGATAGGCAGAGCCAGCTGTCATACCCGCAGCTGGGTGGATCCCGACAGTATTGTTGGAATCCGTTCCAGCTGCGGCGTCTCAGTATACCGCGAGCCGTAGAGCTTTGGGTGACGGGAGGACGCTAGTTTGTGTCCTCCCGTTACCATTAGGAGAACAATGGGGAAAAGCACTGACCCCATAGTTCTCCTTTAAGAAAGTCCATGGTGACGAAATGTGTAGGGAAGAGTTTGAAGTTATACACATACACGCAGACCTGGAAAGAGTGTTGTGAGTGACCTGTCGGGACGCGAGAGGAAAGCACGGAGCCAGAAAGCGTTTGCATACACTACCAGGGCTGTCCATATAATGAGGCAGCCAAAGCCGCTTGCCCAGGCAGCATCATTGTGGTGGTCACATATGGGAGTGGTAGGTGTGCTGAGCTAAGAGCTAGCAACCAATGACGCTCTGGCCTGCATCCCGCCCAGCTCCTGGCAACCTAGGCGGGCGGAACGCTGGAAAGAGGAACTGTGCATCCGCATCCCTGCCCCCCAGGTAAAATGCATCACCCCCATCCCAGTCTCAGGGGCAAAATATGAAGGAACACCCCTGCACACTAATATACTGGAATGCTTGTGGTCTAATTATACACAAGTATGATATGCGTAAGAAAATGTTTTTTTTAATGTATTTTAATAAAACTGAATAGTTCTTTGCTATGTGCTGCTACTATCTGTTTATGAGGATTATATGAAGAATTATTGCTGTCTATGCATTGTTTTCAAGGAAAGCTGGGTAATTCCATCAGTGAGCTCGACCATACAATATACTTTATATGGTCCATGATATAAGGGGAGTGGAAGAGGCACCAGTGGTTGCATTCATGATTTAATCTGCAGCAGTTGCCCATAGTAACCAATTGGCTTCTCTTTTACATTTGTTCAGTTAAGCTTTGAAAATCCCCAATGTAATGAGATGAACAAAGGCAGAAATGTTTGAAATCCAGCCTAGGTGGCAAATATGGCTGCCTCCATGATACAGTACAGAAGTGAGTTTAGCCACCCAGGGACAGGAAGTGAGTTGTTTGCAGGTTTATAAGTTAAAAACAAAGGAGAAAAAAGCCTGAGTAAAAAAAATGAAAGCAGCCACCTCATCTGAGGACTGTTAATGTAATATATTACATTTTTGTTTTTAGGTTTGGATATGCTTTAAGTTGAATTGCACAGTATGACTACAAGCGAACAACAAGGAAAAGCCACCAACATCCGCACATTCATGTGTAATTTAGCACTGCGTTCTTTTGTATCATTCCCTAGAGATAAACACATTTTAAGTTTATGCAATTACTGTCTTTAAAACACAGTGCTGTAGTCAATGCTACCTCTGAGTTTAACATGAAATTGTCATTGTTTTAATTGTAACTTCTTTTCAGTGTGAACAGGCAGAGATATAATCTATTTTGATAAGAAGAAATTAAAAACTTACATTGCTTCTGTATGTTATTTATCTGGTAGAATTAAAAGCAAATCTAATCTGAATAACGTTTGCTCGAATCAGACTTGTTAAACTTACTTTTAGGCTGCATTCATTTTGCTTGAGTTGTGGTAAAGCGGGGCAAAGCATGTAATTTACTGCATGGTACAATGCACAATAGTCACGATATACAGATGCGAATACTGTGTTTGTTGCATTGTGGTGTACTGTGTTTGCAAAAATAATGCAGTTGCATTTTACATGTATTCGGGCGTGTTGTCAGCCTTTTCAAAAATGAATAGAGTGCTTCAAAGCAACATGCCTCAATGCACAAAAACACATATGTTAATGTATAAACAAGTATGAATGAGCTCTAAAAGCAGACCCGTGGCCTGAACAAGTGTAGAAGTCCTCCTTGGGTTGGTGTAACAAGCATTGCTAGGTCAGCTATCTTCTAGAGCACCTCTGGATCCTTAATCCGTGACTGCCCATATATGCAAATACTTGTGATGCATCATTACTGATACTAGTATCAGTGACGATACTGAGTATTTGGGTAAGGACTTGCACTCGCCGAAATGCTTCTGATGCCTATACCGATACCGGAACATCCAGTATCAGGAAGCTGGGCAACAAGTCTATGTTCCCTTGTCACTTGGTAACTAGGTAGCATTGAGCCGGCTTCCTGGCCAATCAGGAGGCTGGGCGCCGTGTAATGACTTGCCACCTGGCTTCCTGATTGGTCAGGAAGCTGGCCAATCAGGAAGCCAGGCGGCAAGTCATTACCCGCCCCCTGGATCCTGATTGGAAAGAAAGTCGGTTCTCTGTTACCTCCTCACCTGGTGATGAGTGAGCATGGAGACAGCTTCCCGGCTAATTGGGAAGATGGGCAGGGAGTCATTAGACACTGCCCGGCTTTCTGCCTAATCAGGAAGTCAGGCGGTGAGTCATAACACGCTGCCGACTTCCTTTATTGGGACTTCTGGTATTTGTATTCTCTATCGAAGAATACCAGAAAAAAGCATCGGTACTCGTACCATTGAAAGTGTTTGGTTATATCTGTTTGATAGGTGCAAAAAACACCCATTGCTCTAGAAAGTCAGCGTTGTTCTGTATTCTGTGTATACTTCCTGTGTCATCACAAGGAGTCTAATTAGCTGGGGACTACAGATCAATTAGTCCTTATGTTGCGGAGGGGAGAAGAAGGAGTGTGATTATATATTTAGACTAGGCAGGGCTGACACCACTCAGTCCACAAATTAGGAGCTGAGTGCATTTCTGGCAGATCAATGCATTGTTTTTCTGAACTTGCAGGGTCTTTAAAGGGATAAAACATGGCAAATGTATTGCAGAGATGCACTATATATACTGTATACCAAGTTGACAAGGGTGCAATGTTACACTAGAAAACCAGAAATATTTAAAAAGGCACATTCGGTCTGTGTTTGAGATGGACAAATAAACCAATTCTTACAGGAATAATATTTGATCAGCATTGCCATTGTCCTGAAAAAAAATAACATGCAAAAGGAGAGTACAACAAAAGAGTACTACAAAATGCAGAAGGGGGCACAGCCCAAGCGTCTTTGGAATTCAGCTAGGGATTTATTACAAATTCTGTGGCCAAGGTTCACACCTCCTTAATTACACCTCTGGTGGTCCTCAGGACAAATGAAGCCCACGAATTGTAACTGCCTACCTATTATTGCATCAAAAAACTAGTTGAAGAAAAGTATTACATACTTGTGTTCCTTTGAGTAAATATCTTGCTGCTAATACAATAACAAATGAAACATATTATGACATTCTTCCCCTCTGTTTATATACACACATTAGCAGTGTTTAGCCAATCTCTCTTACAATACACGGTTCAGCAGCTTACAGACTTGATACAATTTTTAACAAGGATAATTTATATTTGTATCCACAACAGGTTTGTTACTGTTACAAGGGATAACATGTCTACAGAGAAACACAATCAAAGTTAATTTTCAACAAATCTTTGGAACATGTTAAAGCCAGGAAATCCACTATTGAGTTTGATCCCCTTTATGTGTTATATTTAATTCTATTAATCAGAAATAGTGACTAAATAGGGATCCTATAAATAGGGATAGTCTTCACAATGTCCCACTGGCAATAGCTCATTATACAAACATGTACACAATTGTGTTGTATTGTTTATTTTAAAACTTAGGGCAGCATAACCAAGGCAGACCATGTGCTGCCACACTTAACTCTGTACTTTTCCATTTCTCCATCTCATCCAATATGCCACCTTTAGTTCTGCTACCTATGAGGCAAGAGGCAGACATTGTATTGCAAGAGGAGGACAGAACAGGGTCTATGTCAAACTGCCATT